GGCCAAAATTCCTGTGTTAATTTTGGCTGTAATTTTATAAAAAAAAACTGTCAACAGTTACAGAAGGAGGATGGAGAGACAAGCAAGGCTACAACTCAGGCTAAGAGTACTATGAGTTTCATAACAATTGCACGCCATCTTGCCTGGAGAGCAAAAAGTAATAATTTGAAGTTCTAAACTTCAATTTGAAGTTATGAAATCTTGCTTGTACATCATGTACCAGGTTCTACTGAGCTAGTTTTTTAAAATGACTGAATGGCCTGCATGAGATTACTTGTACTTTGTTTTTAGTGTGTATGAATATGAAATTATAAGATTAAAGATTATCGTGTGAGTTTACGAGAGTTCCAGAGTTCCAATTAGATCCCTATGTAGATCTGGTACTGAATCTACATGGGGTTCCTGCTATTCCAAACTCTCGACATCTTTGTTCTTTGCAAGGTAATCGTACCTTGTATATCTTGGACCTCTTAGGATCCTTGGTGCAATGGATTGTATGATGTATATGTATGAATGGTACCCTATGATATATATGTAGGGATGGTGTCCAACCATACTGATTCAGCATTGTACGTATGCTTCCAATACTGTACGTATGCTTCCAATACTGTACGTACATATACTTTCAATACCGTACGTATAATTCCAATAAAGTGCAGGTACCAATCAAGAATACAACTAATTTTGCAACAGTATAGAATCATGTACAAGTCTACGTACATACACTTTGCTAACATCCTACGGGCCAGGACAGTCTTGAAAACCCTCAACTGATGGGCATGAGTTGAGAAGAATTATTCTCACAATTTTCTACAAGACAACTTCCATAGAATTTCCACAGAAAGAAAGTCTTTTGTGCCTCTGCTTTTGTACAGCAAATTCTATTATCAGCAAATTCTCCATATTTGACATTTGGGTCTTTAAGTCATGCATCTTTGCATACATAATATTCATCCATTGTTGGTGGGATCTCCTCATTCCCATTGCACTGTTTCCACCACCATGAAAAGGCCCATCTCCAGTAGCAGCAGCAGCAGCAGCAGCAGCACCTTGTTCATCTAGCTCAGGTTCAACAAACAGCTCATCAAAACTGATTTGTCCACCTGATTCATTTGGAATCATTTCAACCTTGCAAATTGGGTTTGCGTTATCTGCAACAACAATACCAGCCCCACCATTTGCTCTCACTTTAGTGTTAAGATGAATAAATGAAGCCATTGCATTCCTTCTGATATCATCCGGAACAACACCCACCATAGAAGGTTGAAAGCATGCCCACAGCAATGCCTTGCCTAGGATGACTGCTACATCATCATCAAAAGCACTTGCAATATTAGAAGTAACGTTTTCAACAATCCATTTATCAGTAACCCAAGACCTTCCACCACCTTGTACAAACACACACCACCATAGCACAATTGCCTTGCAATGTTAATATCAGGCCATAATAGCTGCATATCCGTATACCTATATTGTTGCCTTCAAATTCCTTTCCATTGAGCTCTGTAATCAACATCGTCTTTGGGAAGACCACAGACATTGATACCACATGCTTTCTGATAGAGTGTGTACCCAACCCACCAGGTTTCTCTTTGTTAAACTGTCGATTTTTCCACACACAAGTATTTAGAAATCTAGAATAATGCTATTTTCCTCTACTAACTTCCTTCTTCATAATCTTCATTGGGGATTTTTGATCACTAAATCCTTCAGTAAAAAGCCACTGACTAACTGCTCCCTCACCATCATAGCACCATTTCTCCAAAAACAGTGCTAAAGCAAGGATAGCACATGTTTTTCCATTCATAGAACCCATTAGTATCTGATCAGGGCAGTCACCATCTTCCCTCACATTCTTGGACCACTTCATTTTCAGTGTTAGAAACTCAGGAAACTGAGGACAACTCTTCAAAGAATCCTTAGTTATATGAGCCATATAATCATTTCAAGCCATGAAATGCATCTGTGTCACATAATTGCTAAATATCTCTTCTTATCTATGATAGTACCAGCCTCCTGTGATATAAGGTCAACTGCCTGCAAAAAATCACTCTGGGTCAATGGTCTATCCATCTTTGTCTCAACACCAAGCCCTCTAGTTTCCTTTATCTCGATCACTGCAATAAGATTATTCACCTCTGGAGGCTGAGGAGGATGACCATGTCCTACACCTTGAATCACAGTCCACTTGATAGTCTTGTTGGGGAGATAATAGGATATCCCCTTCTTTGCATAAGTTATAGTTGTAGACCTTTCAAATATAGGATTATCATCTGGGCCTGGATCCTCTTTCCTATAGCACTTCAGTGCCAAAAATCAATACACACGTTTGGGGGTAATATCTGCAAAATCCTCTTCACTAAACACACGATCCCAATGGAATCTTGTATCAGCAGTCCTTGACATATCAAAGTATCCATCTCTCCTTCCATGTACATAATCCATGAAATCAAGGAAATATTTGAGATATCTCTTCCACTGATCAGGAACATTCATTCCTGATGGGCAAGTAGCAGTTTCTTTTCTTGGTCTTTCTGCTGTTGTGCTAGCAGTGGTGTTGTTGTCGTCTCCATCATTAACATCGGCAACAACGTTCTCTGCATCAATGTCCTCCACAACAACATCCTTGACACCACGAACAATGTCCTCAGCAACGACATCTTCATCATTGCTAACTCCATTTGCTTTGTTGTCACCGCCAACTACTGCTGGTGCTCCGCGTTCAGCTCCTCTGTATCCAGCTGTGCCTGATGATGCTCCTTGTCTTTCTCCAGCAGCACATCCATGGCATCCTTGTCCACATTGTCCTTGTCTGCTTTGTCCTTGTCCACATTGTCCTTGTCTGTGTTGTCCTTGTCCGCGTGGTGGTGACTGTCTTGCCGCTCCTACATGTCTTGCTGCTCCTGCTAGTACATGGTGTCTTGTTCTTGTTGTTGCTGCTGCCTCTTCCTGCTGATCAGCTGTTTCAAGTGCTGCAAGTGCAACTGTTCTGCTTGTCCTGCCTCCATGTTTGGATGTAGTTGCTTCTTCTTCTTCTTCTTCTTGCCGTGCTGCTGGTGGAGGAGGTGCCATTCTTTGTGTTAGTCGCCCTAACAGTCGCCGTAACAGTCGCCGTAACAGATGTATTTCTTCTTCTTGTTGCGTTTTATGGTGGTTTATGCTGGTGGTTTAGTGCTCACACTTGTAAACTCAAGTTTTAAATGTGAAGGAAATTTTTAATGTGGAATTGGCTTGAGCAGTTGGGGATGTTGTTGCAAATCATTGCAATACAGTGTACACTCAACAGATGAAAATGCACCTCAGAGGCAAAGTAACAACAACCCCATGGAAATATGCAGTTCCGGTTTTGGGTGTTAATTTTGCACACAAAACAGTCATTACATGTGCAAAAGTAGTGGTACCGAGTAGAGTACCGGTCAAAATGGGGGTTAGGGCCTATATAGTACATTCGGCAGTGCAGGTGCAGCAATTATGGGAATGCAACTATTTGCAAATGACTATTACGGTACCTGTACGTGCGTGCGTATCCGTTGCATGGCCAAATCACAATTCCCCTCAAAACAAAAAAAATTGGTTCAGGGCGATCAATCATGAATCAATCATGAATGCCATCCAAAAACTAGGTCAGTAGAACCTAGTGGACTTTCTACCTGAAGTTCTTAACTTCAAACCGAAGTTTAGAACTTCAAATTATTACTTTTTGCTCTCTGGGTAAGACGGCGTGCAATTGTTTTGAAATTTTTATGAAACTCGTAGTACGAGTGCCGGGGCAGTTTACTGTATGACCCCTGTACCGGGGGGGGGGTACTGTCGGAACAACAGAACTTCGCTAAATTTATGTATGACCCCCGCTTGGGATATCATACAATTCGATTGACACTCTAAACTAAACATGAGGCAGAAAGGGTTCTGCACCAAAAGAAAAATAGTTGGTTACATACATCATGACAAAGAGGACAAAAAGCCAAAGTCCAACGAGGGCGCCACAGCATAATGGTGGTAACATTGCTCAACCAACAAGGGCCCGTTCTAGGAGTCGAAGCCCTAGCAGCGGCTCAAGAGCGGCGCAATCCAACCAGCCCCAGCAACTGAAAAGAGGAAGGCGTCCGGGAGGAAGTGTTCAGCCGTCAACAGGGAACAACAAAAACGAAAATGCGGATCGTAATAGCAGAAGCCGAAGCACAAGCCGACCCCGCTCAAGGAGTGCAGATCCGGCCAAAAGAAATCGAAATCGAAGCCGTACGAGAAGCTTGGATCCGGCATCGCGGAACAAGAAACCGAACGGATATCGAAGCCGAAGCCGTTCGAAAAGCCCGGACTCACCAACACAGAGGAACCGGACTCGAAGCCGAAGCCGTTCGGAGAGCATGGATCCAGCATCAAGGAACAAACGGTATGCTCACTTCGATGACACTCAGGCCACAAAAGAATACCCTTCACAAAATCGAAAGGGTCTGCGACGTGGGTTTACCGCGAGAAAGTTATCCCGTGGTATTTCGGTGCGAGGAAGAGAGATGTCATGGTGCAAGTTAGCTCAATATATTGTACCAGGTTTGATAATCATCGCAGCCACTGTTGGAGCGATCTTCGCCACGGGAAACGGCTCAATCATTACCGATACCTTGGGTGGACTGATTCCAATCCTAGACAACAGCGACATAGAAGATCCATTTGGAAATGGCAACGCACCCTCGTGGCCTTCAAATGGCAAAGGGTTAGAGATCACTATCATCAATGCACTCAATGACGATTGGCAAAATACCTTTGCCATAGCTGTCGCAAACTGGAACAACGGTGACCCTAGTGCTGTACAGATTACGCAAGAACCCGGAACGTACGATCCAGACTGCGAAGCACCCGAAGGAAAAATTATTGTATGCAATGGAGACTATGGAGAGACAAAGTGGAGGGGAGTTACCGAGTCGTTGTCTGGTAATGACGGAAAACTGGTATTGGCTACTGCAAAATTAAACGAATATTACCTCTTGAACATGGGAAAAGGAGCTTGGCAATACACCATGTGCCACGAGCTTGGTATGTCGTTTTCTTTTGTATCATTTAGCGCAGTGCAACTAGTTGTCTTGAAGTTTGATTTGACCTTCACTCAACCCACCTTACGAGAATTTTTTTGCGTATTTCTCACCTTCACATTGGCAGGACACTCAATCGGGCTTGGCCACACAGATGAAGTCTTTGGCAATGAAGACCTCGGGGATTGTATGGACTATACCGATAATTTGGAGCGAAACAAGCAACCGACCGAATTGAATTACGATATGCTGATGTCGCTCTACGGCCCTCTAGGGGGTCAGCGACAACGACGCGAAAGACTGCAATTGCGTATGCTAGAAAGGAACGAACAGAACTTTATACCAGAAGCTTATACGAACTCATCGGGTCACCATCAGGATTTATCCGTACAGCGACTGAGGAAAAAGGTTAGTTTTAGAAACAATATTCGCATCCATGATGTTTCTGCCGAAGGTAGCGATGATGTCAATGCACACGTTTTTCGTACTGTTCCGGATGATATCAAAAAGGAAAAGGACAAAGCAGTCCAGGTACTGTTCGACAGAGTTCGAAACGAGGACCCTGACGATTACGAAATCGCAGCTGGATACACCCACAAAGACGGGTGGAAACTTCTCCATCGAAAACTTTACGGAGAAGAACACGAAATGGAGCTGGGGATGGGCTACAAGGTTCGTATTCAACTCCTCCTTGATCACAAACAAACTATACGATAAGTATTAGTACATTTTGAGTGAAAGTGTGAAAAAGTATAGTTATACTACTGGTATTGTGATCGTATATTTGTGCTTTTTTTCGTAGAAGCAGAGCGTTGCACAAAACTTTCATTTCTTCTAGCTGCTTTCAAATCAAAATATTGCAGTGGTCCACGTCTTTTCCTTTGTAGTATTTACACGACCCGGCTCCCGATCATTTACAGAAGTCTCACCGCCCCACGTTACGCCAACCACTTTTCTCAAATGTCTCATGCCGATTTCCAAGTGCTTTCGTTTCCGACAATCGACCATAGATTACTATATTCGMCATGCCATATCGTGTCTCGCCAAGAAATTTAATCCTCCTCCTCGGCTTCTACAACCAAGAAGGGATTTTCGATTTCTTCCACGCCATCTTGGGGGGAAACAAGCGAGACCTGCGTACCCCGCACAACCACCAAGCCGAGCGTTCGTTTCTGGTCTGTGATCTGTTCGGCATCATCTGACTCCCTCAGGAACTCCTCGCAGTCTTCCAGGACGAGGTTTACGAGTTCGTCGTATCCCTTGAGGGTCCCCTCTAATTCACGGCCACCCAAACACTTGACATGCACGCGAGCTTCCATCATTCTTGCGAGTTCGAGAATACTGTCCTGTCTGGGAGGACGATTGCTATAGCTCATACTTACGGGGTTTCGATAACGGAATAAGAACCTTGTCTCAGATTGTCGAATAGAAAGTGTAAAAGACGGTGTAGTGGAACCAAGGTACCGGACAAGTACCAAACAATATATCAACCAAAAACGCAACCGTGTAGGACGTAGTACAGAATATACGTAGGTGCACCAAGCCAGTGCGTGGTGCGTACTGTATCAGGGTGATTGATGAGAAGTACTCACACTGTCACGCACAAGGCAAATTCTATGGAAAAAATGCAAGTCGGGAGAGTAATTCTCGACAATCACCACGATAACGAAAACACCGACAACACTGATACCAACACTCCTGTCAGCTAATAAGATGGTCCTTTTGTTGAGGACGATACTAACAACACAGCACAGTTAACATAGTAGTAGTATACAGCCACTTGTTCTATTAGGGGGGACAAGTAGTTAGCAAATAAGAAGGCGTCCGTATCAGTGGCTCGTATCAGCGGCTCGTATCAGCGGATCCTCCGTATCAGCATCCTCCGTATCAGCATCCTCCGTATCAGCATCCTCCGTATCAGCGGCTCGTATCAGCGGCTCGTATCAGCGGCTCGTATCAGCGGCTCGTATCAGCGGAGGACTCGTATCAGCGGAGGACTCGTATCAGCCGACTCGTATCAACGGATACCGTATCAGCGGATACCGTATCAGCGGATACCGTATCAGCGGATACCGTATTAGCGGATCCTCCGCATCAGCATCCTCCGTATCAACGGCTCGTATCAACGGCTTGTGTCAGCGGATCCTCCGTATCAGCGTCTCGTATCAGCGTCTCGTATCAGCGGCGCGGACACCGTATCAGCGGACACTGTATCAGTGGCTCGTATCAGCGGACACCGTATCAGTGAGCTTCCGTATCAGTTGCTGGTTTGCTTATTAGGAGCTTCATTTTGTGAGCAAAGAGGAACTGAATAGTACTACTACAAAGAAAAATCTGAGTCTCTGGGAGTGAATATTTCATGTGGGAGTTGCAAAACGGTTGCATTTTCCATACAAAATTGACTCCTTCTTGCAACCAAAATTGGTACGGATGCAACCAAAACGGAAGAGCTAATACGGTTGCACAGTAGAATCTCTACCACAAAATATGTAGTACATGTGAGTACGGTGGTAAATAGAGTGGGTCCAGTAAGAGTACTATAGCCTTAGTACGTTACGCACCAATTTTGAACGTTTTGCAATATCGGTTGCAAAAATGGGGTACCGGTATGATATCTGAGGAGTCCCACAGCGCTTGAAACCAAAATGTAACTTGTGAGAGACTATGTAATATAATCGGCCTCCTGCTGGCTGCGTACGTGTAATCCATACGTACTACGCGTTTCATAACAATTGAATACGGCCGCTCGAGCGCGCAAGTGCTCTCCAGTTATAGTTAAGAACTTTGAATCAAAGTTGTCAACTTGCAGCGCAAGTTGCCAACTATTATACGTAGGCCTACGTACAATTAGTACTAGCCCCGCTAGGGGCACGCCGGCTGGCCAACAGCTGCTCAGCGGGGGGGAAGCAAGAAGCAAGATTAGCTGTTTTTGATGGATCCTAGTACAAAGCTGTGTAGAAAATCCCGTAGAAAATCGTGAATCAAGGTAGTTGGCTTGAGATTTTGGTCAAAATAGAAGGGTTTTTATCACGCGTTCAAAATTGTACTGTGTCCTAGCATCTTGACCTTTACCTGCCTCCAGCATGCTGATACAGCACCATGCTAAACTGTTCTTTTTCATTCATTCAAAAAACTCCCAAGTTCAAAGCAACCGACCATGGGAATTGCTCCATTTCAAGGACTTTCACTCACTCTTTTCTAATGTAAGTAGTATCACTGGATAGCTCTCTTCGATTGTTGATTGAATACGCCTTGAACTGTAGCAAACAAGCAAGTGTAACCTATTTTATTGCGTGTTCAGTGTAGATTCTTTTTTTTACGACGACTGCTTCTTCCGACGTCGGCAAGCAGCAACATGAGCAACGCGAGACACCCTTCAGGGGCCGCTGTCCCCAGCCTTCCACTCACCCAAACAAATCCACTCTATCAAGCAGCCTATACTGCTTTGGAGAGGAAGAAGTTCCTTCCCCTGGTGAAGAAGAAGCAGCATCTTTCTGCCATTCAGAAGATCACTGAAGGGGATGTTCAAGCACTCTTCCCAGGCAATCAAGCCAAGGGACTGAGACAAGAGATGTGCCTCCTCCATACTGATATTGTCTCTGCCGGTCTAGGCAAGAGCAAGCAAGAGAAGGCCTGGAGATCTCACTACGCTTCTTCCATCCTTGCTTCAGTCTATGTGGGAATGGAGATGAGGAAGGGGGTGGAGTTGCCTTCCCCAAGCATCCACCAACGAGCCAGTAGATCCAGGAGCAGCAATGATGCAACGCGCGCTCTTCCCCTCTTCCGGTCCGCTGCTAAGGCTGTCAAGGAAGCTGTAGGCAAGCAAGAGGATGAGGTAATTGAAAAGCAGAACAAAGGATCTTCCATCAAGCAACAAAGGGATGGCAAAAGGAAGCAGGACAAGATCCCCTTTGACCCTTCCAAGGCTGAGGCGTTCGCTTGCCCCAAGTGTGGAGGTATGGATTGTTGCATGCCAATTGAGACAACCACAAAGTGAACCAAAAGAACCAAGAGGCCTTTGAGAAGTACACCMACAAGATGGAGGAGTATGAGAGGACTGGGGAGGGGAAGAAGCCAAAGTATCAGCACTAGAGGGTCCTCCAGCTTGGATCCTATCAGTATTCTTAGTAGTGACAGTGAAAGCTCGGGCTTCCTCTCCAGCTTCAACAACACAGGCAAGGGGGACGTGAAGCCAGTGGTGGTGAAGTCTGAGTTCAAGCTTCCTGGTCCTTTGCCCAAGCGTCGCAAGAACAAGGGCTCGGCTGTTGCAGCTACTCCATCCTTTGCAAGGAAGATCAGGCAGGAATCTGTCAAGCAGTCTTTTGGTAACAACACCCCTTCTATAGTTGATGCGCTGGATCTACTGTCTCGACAACTCACTGCTGAGGACACTAGCACTGAGGCAATGGCATTGAAGAAGAGAGCACAGGACATGGAGAACATTTGCCCTAATGTGGAGGAGGCGACTGGTTCCTTGGTGAAGTTTGCTAAGCGCCAGCTGTTTGCAAAGCAGCAGGAGAAGCAAGCTTGTCCTGCTCCTTCAAACACTGGTGGCTTGAATTTGCTCTCAGCAGCAGCAAGCACTGCTGCTGGCTTGAAACGCCCAGCAGCAGGCTGGGGCTTGGGCTTGGGCCTGGGTCTCAAGCGTATTACCAAGCGTCCTGCTGCAAAGAAGGCGCTAGCTGTTCCAAGCAAGAAGGCTAGTCCTGGGGGCTTGCCCAGCAGCCAGAGCTCAGGTGGATTTGACTGTGGAGACAGTGATTGATTGATCCTTGTCTTTCATAGATGCTGAATACTGAAAGCATCGATTCAAATGCTGAGTGCATTGATTGCTAGTGGTGGTTCTTTTCCTCCTGTTTCTCCACCATTAGGATGCCCTCTTGCTGTCTCTTTTGTACAAACAGAGCAGCTTGCGCGTGCTGTTGTAATCCCTGTGATTGCTGTCTGATAGAACGCCAAGTACCTCCTTGTTGAGGTAGTACTACTATTGTAATAGTATAGAGACAAATTAGTAAACTGACTAGATTCTAGACGAGCTACAGTATATTCCCAAACTGTAGGCCCAGGACAAGCCGCTTGGTCAGCAAGCTGGTCCTTGGGGTACTGCTCAAGTCTATTGCAACTACTCTTGGTAGCTATAATTGTTACTAAAGATAAACTGTATCAAATAGTACTGCTGGAGATAGACAGGGACAGATCCACTGCTCTTGAGTATGTCTCAACTGTAACTGAATTGATCGGTCAATCGATTCAACCGACTCTTATTCAGTCCATCTAGTCAATTTGCGTTCATCTGAATCGATTGAGCATCCAAGGAAGCTGCTCCAGCAGGGGACTGGAATCCAAGCCTCTCCAGTAGGATTCAGTTTCCATAGGCCCAGGATGAGTTGCCACGCCAGCACGCCACGCTCCAGGGGATTGCTCCAGTCCATTGCAGCTACCCCGCGGATCCAGCACACTTGATGGAGACCAATGCATTGCTGTTGTTGTTGCTTTCAATAATATTTCCTGGGCTGGTATACCCCATCCACAGTATATCCACAATGATCAAAGGTTGAATCAAAATGACCCAATGATCTAAACGCCTCTGTTCTAAGTGATTGCTCCATATCTGCAGTGGTCCAGCGAGGCGTTGCGATCTTGCTCACAGCACCAATGAGATCACAGATCTTGTACTCAATGGGACCATACTTKGGTTGGTAAGGAGGCCTAGGAATGGATACAAAGCAAGTCCCTGCTCCAGCTGGTCTGTCATGAAGGGTTTGAGCCACCACGCCAGTCAAGTGAGCACTAAGATTGTCCCAAAGGAAGATGCGATGAGTATCCATGTCCCCTGGAGCTGGATGCTGCTCGATATCAGTGCAGATCTTGTCAATGAACTKAGCAAAGCTCCATGCTGTTGTGCCTGCTGTTCTAAGGACGTTGATCCATCTTCTAGGATTTGCCACACTGCCTCTAGTCGCTTCTGGTAGTCTTGGATCCCCTGGCTCAATAGCCAGCAATACGGTCAGCTTCTCAGTCCTCTTGTAGTGTCCAGGGGCTCTAGACCTCMTGCTTTTGATTGCCCATCCATACCTGCAGTTGGTCCTTTGCATGTTGAAAGCAAACTCATCCACGTCTATAAAATTCCTCCTTGGGATACCAACTACTCCAAGGGGGAAAGGCCGAGTCCAAAAGAACTCACATCTTATCAAGTTCCTGGGAGTGAATGCTTGATACTCTTCAGTGGACTTCCTCTTCCTTGTCACCTCCATTCCATGCAGTCTCCTGGAGATATCAACACTGGAATAGATTCCTCCCCCCTCATTATAAATGAATGTTGCCAACTCATCAAAGCTGGCAGAAGGATTGATAGTCAAACCAATGGTAAGAAGGTAGAGGTCTGGTCCAACCAGCTTGCTTTGGTCTCTGTTGCCTGTCTTCCTGTATGGATTAAGGCGTCTACTCCATCTTGAAAGTGAAGGCTGACTAGCAGAAGTAGGAAGACCAGCAGCCTTCCTTTCCAGTTCCTGTTCCCTTAAGAAGACAGGATAGCCTTCACTCCCTCCCCTAGAAGGATGAGGCCTCTCAGCTCTTCTTTGTTGTGTTAATCTACTAGAAAGACCAGCACCAGCTCTGATCTTTGCTACCTTATCTGCTGGATTGATAGGCATGGTGATTGCCGACGTCAGAAGAAGCAGTCGTCATAAAAAAAAGAAGCTACACTGAACACGCAATAAAATAGGTTACACTTGCTTGTTTGCTACAGTTCAAGGCTTGTTCAATCGACAATTAAAGAGATGTATCCAGTGATACCAAGTACAGTGTAAAAGGTTGAGTGGAAGTGCTTGAAATGGAGCGATTCCCATGGTCAGTTGCTTTGAACCATGTTTTTTTGATAGAATGAAAAGAACAGTTCTAGCGTGCTGGAGGGAAGTTTTCAGGTCCACGACAGTAGGACACAGTACAATTTTGTACGCGGAGACAAAACCTTTCTATTTTGAGCAAAATGAGCAGTCTACCCCCTTGATCCAGAATTTTCTACAGGATTTTCTACACAGCTTTGTACTAGGATCCATCCAAATAGATCATTTTGCTTCTCCCTGAGCAGCTTGCTGATCAGCTGGATCAGCAGCTGTTGGCCAGCCGGCGTGCCCCTAGCGGGGCTAGTACTAATTGTACGTAGGCCTACGTACAGTAGTTGGCAACTTGCGCTGCAAGTTGACAACTTGGATTCAAAGTTGACAACTTTGATTCAAGAGCACTTGCGTGCTTGCGCAGCCATATTCAATTGTTATGAAATGCGTAGTACTACGCGTTTCATAACATTTGAAATCGGCCTGGAAAGAGAGCAAAAAGTAATAATTTCAAGTTCTTAACTTCAATTTGAAGTTATGAACTTCAAATGTCCTGGTAGAAAGTCTACGAGGTTCTACTGAGCTAGTTTTTGGATGGCATTCATGATTGATTCATGATTGAATCAGCTCAAACCATTTTTAATTGCCCTGAACCATTTTTTTTGTTTTGATGGGCCCCGGGAATCCATTCAGCCATTCAGCAGTCATTTTATAAAACTAGCTCAGTAGAACCTGGTACATGATGTACGAGCGAAAGTTCATAACTTCAAATTGAAGTTAAGAACTTGACATTATTATTACTTGCTCTCTTTTGAGGCCGATTTCAATTGTTATGAAACGCGTAGTATGTATTCTGATCCGTACTCTGAAAAATGTTCCTTATACTACAAGTTTCATAACAATTGCACACGGTCTTGCCCAGAGAGCAAAAAGTAATAATTTGAAGTTCTAAACTTCAATTTGAAGTTATGAACTTTTGCTTGTACATCAT